CTATAACTGACATGTTGCTTTTGCCATAGGTGACTTTTTCACCAGAGTTTAATACTTTCGACGATATAATAATTTATAATATCGTGTGACGTCATGACTCGATACATTTTATGTCTGACCTTAAACAATCCACCTCCTGCTCACAATCTTAAATTTTTTATACCTTTATGTATCGCGGTGACCTGGAGGTTAAGGCACTCGCTTCTCATGCATAAGAGGGCAGGTTCGAAACCAGGCAAGTACTTCAATGACTGCGGCAAGGCAACCTAGGCTTATAATTTCTGAAAAAACACTCAGTCTTGAGCCAGCGTGGTCATTAATGCTCAAAACTTCTTCATGTAAGAAGAGGCCTTTACTTAAAGGCCAAAAAAATGTACTTATTATATTTTTAGTATCTGACAAAATTTCCATTACATTTTAATAACCTGTCTAATATCACTAAATATATTTGGATCACATGACTTAAAGTCCGTGTAGGTGTGTTAGAAGTATATTACATAGAATGTGCATAGAATAGCTAGGAAAATGTAGTTAAGGTCACACTCGTGCTAGAAGGAATAATGGCATTTGCAATCTCGTATTTACTCATTAAACAGAAATGGTCTTATTTGATCCGGGGGTTTTTACGATAACAATATGTGATTGATATTATTCCGTACTTCCTGTAATCCTTATCGTGATCGTTTAATCATCGTCTGTGATTAATAGCTAAAATTATAATATAATCGGTACTAATAGGTTGATAATGTATGGATAAAATGTTTATAAAATATAAATAGGACGGTTTCCGTCACAAAAATCTATTTGCTTCAGTCGTCTTAAGAGGTCAGTATTGGCCATCTCTATATAAGTTTTGTTACTTTACCATTATTTGGTAATTCCTCTCTCGAATCCGACGGAGGTCAACCCCCGGGTGTCGTCATTGTGAGGACCTCATGCAGTACATGGTGGAGCAATCTGGAGCTTACGTTGGCGGTGTGCCCTGCTTGGGCTAACCATCACTGTGTCCTCAGGGAAGTGATCGGCGCTGGTGACCTCGCGCTCGGCCTTATCCGAGGCATAGTGCGAAGCGAGATGAACTAGGAAGCTCTTTTTGTGTAGCAGTTATGTTCGCAGAAAAGGAGGAGGAGCGCACTATGCTCCACTCACTCACTCCGGGTGTCAGGGGTCGAGAGACGATCTCCGGCCACCGGTAAGCACAGGTCTGCGGACGGCAAAATTGATACCTATCTTTGAGGATTGGCTAAAGAAATGCCAGAAATGCATAGTGTCCACACGTTCCGCCCGATGCAGGTTGTTACCGGGCACTAAAGCTTCGGTAGGTACAGCTTTCGGATCCGACGTTAAAGTGATCGGCAGGGATGACCTCTCGCGTCCTGGCTTAGGCCATGGTTCAGATAGCGAGGAACTGGAAGGCAATCTCCTCTTCCTGCGAAGCAGTAAGACTAGCAAAGAAGGAGGCGGAACGCATGAGCAAGAGCAGCTCGCCCTTTGACCAGAACCAGACCACCTAAAGCCACCGAGCGAATCGTTCCTCGCGCGTCTCAAAGAGCGCTACAGGTGGTGTCAAAAAAGGCGATGTTTAGCCTAGGTTGCGAAGCTCTCAAAAATGCAGGCACCACAGCCTCGGCCTGGATCAAAAGAAGGAACGGTGTGGTTTTAGTCAGTCAGTGTCTGACAATGCTCAAGGTTCTTCAATTTGTCTTTTAAAACAATTTTATTTATTTATTACACTCTGGAGGACTTACAGCTTTATCTAACTAAAAATAGAAGCCAAAATAAACTACGGAAAGCCAATTACAAGGTCTCACGTATAATGACAGACTTAAAATGAAGAATTCATTATTAGTATGGAAAATACTACTACATAAACTTAACTACTTCCAATATCTCTTTAAGAACTGTTTACTCTCTCCCTTGATCCCAACCAGGTCGAGAGGGAGTGTCAGACTTTTTCTGACTAACAACTATCCCGTTCCTTATCCTTTTTCGAATTAGGATTATCGGTTGAAAGAAAAAACTACAAATTAAGTTAAACAGGACTTGGCTTCTATATGATCTCAATAATTTTACGGCGATACAACAAATTTATGTATAATGTAATATATATCTGCGATTCTACAAGAACATGGTATATGAATAAAAACATTAAATTTAAAAACTTGCGTATAGAGACTTGGCTCTTGGTTGTATCGCAATATATAAAGATTTGTTTCCTATTAGTTAGTAAAATATATAATTTATTACTGATACGATACTGGTAGATACCCTAAATATTCACACAATATACCCTAAATTGTGCATCAATCGTGTCGCGAAATTCAAATACCTGGGGCACCTATTACCAAAAGTGTTGATGACGATGGGGATACTGAGAGGAAGCACAGGGCTTTGGCATTCAGATGTGAGGGCTAACATGCTGGCCTTCAGCTTCTCCCGATGCTCAGAACAAGTAAATGTGACTCTGTTTCAAGCCTTATTGTCAAAGATTTCATACTGAAAATTTGTGATTCAGGCACACTAAAAGATCGCTGGATGTCCTGCTCGTCCAATATGATAATAACATCATCGAATGATGCCAAAGTTGCCTCGCTTCTGTAGTGCTTCGAATACATCATCACCATACAGGATCATACAGGTGATTTTTGTGCTGTCATCCACAAGAAAACTGTATCTCTAATCTGCAGAATCCGTGGCAGCTGCAACGGAAAGTTGTAAAACTGTGACAGTACGAATTGTATGGATCATGTTATCTGAATTATATAAATTTGAATTACCGTTTTTATATTTTTTTCTATACATGAAGCTTCACAGCACATCTTGGTGTCAAAATTAAAGGTTCTAAGTTTGATAGAAGTACCTTAGTTTTTTGATGATCGGTCAGTGACTGAATCAGTGAGTGACTCAGTGTGTGCAAGATTTGTATAGGTAACTTTGACCGCTAGGTCTCTTTAGGTCATCAAAAAATCAAACCTAAGTCACTAACTTTGTCCATATCACTAGGGGCACTGCTGTGCTCCCTAATAATTGCTTTCTTTTTCTTTATTTATTTTATATATCATTTTATTTTAGCATATGTAATAGTTACAGTTTAATTATAGTTGATAGAGGCCCGATCATTCTTTCTCTAATCTCTAAATCTCTGAAACCTCTCTCTCACTCTCGCTCTTTCACTTGTGGTGTTGCTTTGGTCGATTGTTTACCATCAGGTAAACTCGTTTGCCGTTCTCTCACATAAAAATCACATTTCGATCGCAGTTAAAAGGAAATTTGAGACAGTGTAAATCAGTACGCATTAAGTGTAGACGCTCTAGTTTAGTACTGTTATGATCCATTTTGATCTTTGATCGCCTAAATTAATTAGGTCTATCTAAACAAAAACAGTTACTATTAAACCACAATCTTCCAACAAGCATAAATAATATACATTAATTAATTAACATGTAAGGAAGTGTTGAATATTTATATCATGAGTCAAAAAGCCATTTTCCTTATTCTACTTTTTATAGGAAGAACTGATACAAGCTCGTGCGTTATCAAAGGTCACAAATGCCTTTATTTTAAAATCATGTAGGTACGTTATCTATAATGTTTAACACAAGTAAGGTCGGTTGAACGACAGAAACTACTTCTCAAAAAAGTGGCCTAACACAGCACTAGATGTGTTTTGTTGAAAGCAACTTACTCGCGAAAATTTAATAAGAATGTTACGGAGGTCCAATATTGGGGAAAGGGAAGGCCCCAACCAAAAATCTCTAATCCTCAATTCCTTAACCAGGAATGCACCACTACGGTATTTGGAAAGTCCTGAGGTGGCGGTTATTGCTTACTATCAGATAATTCGAAATATAGAATAATTGCAGCTCATAAACTATTATGAGCCCTTTCTTCTTTCCCTATGTCATTTCTTCTTCTTTTTTCCTAGTTTTCTACCCCGATTATCATTAGCCTATCATAAACCTCTGTCGTCTGCCCTTTGTCACACTGTAGCTTCATTCACAGTAATTGAAAGACATTGAAAGGTAAAATATGTAACATTTAAAATCAGCATACTACAGTGTAAACGCACTTTTTAAGCGTACCTGTAATATCTTTGATCTTATCGCCTATTTTGTTATTGGCCAAAATACATGTTGTATTTATTCACCTAAGCCTAGTTCGGTCATCTTAACCCAAGCTGCTCTTCATGTCATTTCAGTATTACAGTCATCTTGATCGGTAAGTCAAGGCAAATGGACTGATTCACTCTTAAAAATCACCGAATTAATCAAAAAACCATAATCCCCAAAGGCAGACACACTCATTATTCGCGTTCATTCGCTTCGTTCTGCGCTACAAAAATCGATATTTGTGGAAAAACTGGTGTGATTTGAGCATCTGACTCGTAAAAATGCTCCTTCGTCAAAGAAGACGGCGGGAAGACCTGCAGGTATTGTGCTTCTTCTTTTTGGCATCCTTTCTCGTTTTGGTGTCAACCGCAATATGCCGAGTTTTCCATCTTATTTGTAACCGCCAGTGTTTTTCAAATAATCGCAACCCTTTCCCGAGAAATGCAATAAGGCGCCTTATTGTATTTCTCGCGTATCTAACGGGAAGCATAGTCTTTTTTTTAAAAACTTTGGTCCAGTGTATGACTCAGTCTTTTGCCGTAGGAACGTTTACAAACATAGAAATTCTCATATACAAATAACCCTGACCTGAATTAGACCCGAAACAACAATTTAAGGAACACACAAAGTGTTCAGAAGTGTATGTACAGTCAAGATATAAATGGTATGATGAAGAGATGGATGATCTCTTTCTCCGTGCATCTTCTAAGCCGAGGGAATCATCTTCTAAAGAGCACAGGACTCTTAGTAAGGTACAACGCTGAAAACTGAAAAAAAACGTGATAACCCAGATAGGTGTGATAATCAATTGTCACATTTTCTAAATAAAAATCCATCATAAAATCCCCATGTTATAATTTACCTGGTTATATGTAGTTAAAACAATAACAAGTTTTGGTTAATATTTTATTTAAACATTTTTCATTATTATACAATCACAATTAATGAAAGTTTTGAACGTTAACATTTAGAAAATAATATATTAATGAACAAAATACAGAATAAGTTCGATGTCACTCTCATCAATAATTGAAAAGTAAAACCACTTCGAGACAGGTGATTATTTCTGTTAAACTTGCTTCATAGCAGCCGAAACTGCTCTTTTCCATCCAAGGTGGTAGAATATCATGCATGTCAAAAGTAATACTATAATGTTTAAAAGTAAAACAACCCCAATAATAGCTATCGTCCAAAACCAAGAGTCAGGTTTGTCTTCAGGTGGACAGTAATTTGGAGTTGTCGATGGGTAGGGAGAAGTTGTGGAATCTGGACTGATAGGGTCAGATGTGATAGTTGGTTCCTGGATAGTGGTTGGATCAGAAGTGGTTATTGGTTCGGGAGTAGGACTTGGTTCGGGAGTGACTGTTGGTTCAGTAGTGGTAGTCGCTGCAGGAGTGGTAGTTGGTTCAGGAGTGGTGGTTGGCTCAGGAGTTGGTTCAGGAGTGGTGGTTGGCTCAGGCGTTGGTTCAGGAGTTGTGGTTGGTTCGGGAGTGGTAGTTGGTTCAGGAGTGGTGGTTGGCTCAGGTGTTGTTTCAGGAGTAGTAGTTGGTTCGGGAGTTGTGGTTGGTTCAGGACTTGTGGTTGGCACGGGAGTGGTAGTCGGTTCAGGAGTGGTAGTTGGTTCCGGAGTGGTAGTTGGTACAGGAGTGGTAGTTGGTTCCGGAGTGGTAGTTGGTTCCGGAGTGGTAGTTGGTTCAGGAGTGGTAGTTGGTTCGGAAGTTGTAGTTGGTTCTGGAGTTGTAGTTGGTTCAGGAGTGGTAGTTGGTTCAGGAGTGGTAGTTGGTTCAGGAGTGGTAGTTGGTTCAGGAGTGGTAGTTGGGTCAGGAGTGGTAGTTGTATCGGAAGTTGTAGTTGGTTCGGGAGTTGTAGTTGGTTCGCGAGTTGTGGTTGGTTCGCGAGTTGTGGTTGGTTCAGGAGTGGTAGTTGGTTCAGGAGTGCTAGTTGATTCAGGAGTGGTAGTTGGTTCAGGAGTGGTAGTTGGTTTAGGAGTGGTAGTTGGTTCAGGAGTGGTAGTTGGTTCAGGAGTGGTAGTTGGTTCAGGAGTGGTAGTTGGTTCAGGAGTGGTAGTTGGTTCGGGAGTGGTAGTTGGTTCGGGAGTTGTAGTTGGTTCGGGAGTTGTGGTTGGTTCGGGAGTTGTGGTTGGTTCGGGAGTTGTGGTTGGTTCAGGAGTTGTAGTTGGTTCGGGAGTAGTAGTTGGTTCGGGAGTTGTGGTTTGTTCAGGAGTGGTAGTTGGTTCAGGAGTGGTAGTTAGTTCGGAAGTTGTGGTTGTTTTGGGAGTTGTGGTTGGTTCGGGAGTGGTAGTTGGTTCAGGCGTGGTAGTTGGTTCGGGAGTGGTCGTTGGTTCAGGTGTGGTGGTAGGTTCAGGAGTGGTAGTTGGTTCAGGTGTAGTAGTTGGAACTGGAGTAGTAGTCCATGCATCGTAAAAATCACATAAATATTCATCCATGCCAGGTGGTATGTATCGGAATGAATCTACCAGTACTATAGAACTAGACGATGACGCCAAACCCGTTATAGATATCTGAAACAAAAATTTAAAAAGCTGATATAAAACTAAGCATAACTAGAGAGTAATTAGTAAGTTAAGTATTACAGACTACTAAATACATGCTACTGGACTGTAATCATAATGGAACGGCTGACCAACTAACTGTTAAGTTTTTCTTATTATCCTAATACGATTAAATAATTAAATATAAAATTAGTATTGTGCCCATACAACTTAATGTGTTTAAGGTTGAAATTATGGATGCACACAAGCCTTGATCGTTTAATGAAAGTTTCAAACAATGAAAACAAGAAGATTGCCAAATGATCATAAAAATACCCATGTCATACGACCCATGGTAAAGAATATAGGAAATAGAATAAAAAAATTAACATGGTAAACAAAATTAAAAACTATACTCACAAAGCCTTGTGGTGTGTCAGGTCCCGGTACAGTCATCTTGATAGTATACCAGCCAGTAGTGAACATTTGATTCAATGGTGAGTGTACATAAACGCCAGTCACCCATGTATTACCAGACATCAATATTTGACTAATGGATATGGTGATTTGATCAGTAAGAGCTGCATCATATACGTAAACTTTGACTTCGAGAGTGCCTCCCTCCTTCATTGGAAAAGGAAATGATGAAATACAACTCATTTCTTCTCTTGGTGCTATAAATGTGTTGCTTGATTCGTGAGGACCAGGCATCCCCAAGTTGCTGTACTGTCCAACTCTCCACGGTGGCATGTGCATGTTTTTGCAAACACCCAGTTCAGTTGTAAACAGCTCATCATAATTTTGTTCAAACGTGTACCTCACGCAGTCGCTCACAACATGTGATACCAAATTTATCAGCACCAAAATCACAACAAAATTTACTCCGCGAACCATTTTGTTTCGCTTCTCTCAGCTGTTATAGTTAAATTAACTAAAATTTCGAGCTATTAAATATTTTATTCTAATTGAAACGATTTTATCTGATGATACATAAAAGCTGGTTAAAGTTATTATCATGTATGATGATAAGATTTATGTTTTATTGAAATATTACATTAATTTTGGTCTGGATGGAGTTTTATCAGATTGAAAGGTTTAGTTCGATTTGTAATTATTCTTAATTTCAAACAAAACACAATCTAGATCATCAGCCGCATATTACAGTGAGTGATACATATTTTATAAAGGTGCTAGAATAGGATTCAGGTAGGCGCAATGTCTTACTATATGTCTAATCTTTTGTATAATAACATAGACAAAAATCTGAGAATTGGGTTGAGAACTTTGAAAAAAAATTGAATAAAATAGTAAACAACCAATCAATTAAACTAATAAGACAATAAATATAACTCTATAACAGAAATATTGTCTTCAAAATAAGTCAAACTTTGCATATGTAGTTAACATCTTTATTGTAAGATAATGTTTACTATCTTAATTAGATCTACCTAATTGAATTACACTTCAACATTACAATATTTTTATCTAAAGGAAATCATAATCTTGATATTGAAATTTAATTAAAAACTATAGTAAGCATAAACTATCAGTTTATTCAAATCTTGATTTAACAAGCAATTTCAATCTAGAAACATCTGAAGAAAATCATAAGGATGTCTCAGAAAATTTAAGGAAAATCTGTAAATAATTCGGCAATGATTAGGTAATTGAAAAATGGGTGATATCTCCTTGTACTCAACAGTGTATAATTAACCATCCGTCAATAACTATCTGAAACTTAGCCCTGTATCAAAGTGTTCATTTAGTTCTATAAGCTCATCTAATACACATTTGCGGCAATGTGTCAGGAAGGAGAACAGAAACTTAATATTTTGAAACTTACTCTTAATCTTAATAATCCAGTTTTATTTTTAATAATCTGCTCTAAGCAAGTAATCATGTGTCACCCAGCGCCGCGGCCCTTTTATCAGGTAAAGTACTTTGATTATTTTTTAAGGGGTAGGTTTAAAACAGCAAAGGGGCAATCGAATCACCGGAAGAAAAGCAATCAGCGCTACCCATAGATATCCGTCATACAGAAGGAGTTTCAAGTGCGTTTCGGACTTTTTGGGGTTCGAGGATTAGGGATTTGGATTTGACGATAGAAGGAATGGTTTGGCCTCAGGTAATGTCATTTACATAAATATAACACGAAAACATTTATGTATCTTCTAACAATATTCAATCGTAAATTACCTGTGCGACGTTTCCCGTAGCGTGTGTAAGTAGACCCCTTTTTGAGGAGTTTCTTGAGAGACGCCACGGCGAACTCACCTTCCGGACAACCCACAAGTCATGGTGCAGCATATGGTGGCGGCGAGTAAGGGTAGCTCGCCGCTTGCCAGTACTAACGAGCAGCAGCGTAAGATCCATGAGAATTATTATTTAGAGCCATATTTTCAAATTTAGCTCTCGTATTGCATCCTAAAGTCTTGGCGTGTTTCTAAATACGAATAATTTGTAATCCTTCGCAAGATTTAAACTCTTCGATTTTTAGGCCTTCATTCGAAAGGGCCGCTGCTGATTATGATTTTTTATCACCGCAACTTTATGTCACTATGTTGAGTGCAATGGAGATGTAGGAGATTTTTTTTTTTTTGAGGGGAAAATCATCACATGACTTCTCCCGCCCAGGGATGGGCGGGAGGGAGTGTCAGACTCTTACTGACTAAAAACCCCCCTGTTCCTTCTCCTGCTCTGGGCCGAGGTCGCGGTACCTAATAATACGCTTACCCCGCAACCCCGGCTGTACGGTGACGTGATAATACGGTAGCAAATATCTGCAGCGTCTCTGTCAGCCAGCCTGTTTATTACTATGGGAATCTCGTCAATATTTTTTGATTTTTCTGCTCATTTTAAAATTTCACATCGAATCGAAAATGTATCATTCGTGAATAGTTTCAGGGAGCGCATTGTGAGTAATATTTGGTGACAGTAACGAAAATCACAGTAACAAAAAGTTAAATTTCAAAAATCTAACGCGAGACTTCTCGCTCGTCTTAGCACTACTTGGCATAATCAGTGTATATGTCATAATGCTATCACGCATTCATTGGTTTCAATTATTACTTTCATCATCATCATCATCATCATCATCATCATCATCATCATCAGCCTATAAGTGCCCACTGCTGAGCAAACGAAGAAGGTTAGAGCATTAATTACCACACTTGTTCAATGCTGGTTGGCGATTTCAAACTTTTAAGTCCAGGTTTCCTCACGATGTTTACCTTCACCGTATGTCAGTGGTGTCTAAATAATCATAGAAAGTACATATAACTCGGAAAAAGTCACATTGGTACTTGCCAGGTTTCGAACCCATGCATGCATGAGAAGCATGAAAGAAGAAAAAAAATATACTTTTATTCACAAGAAGGTCACTTCAGGCTAGGTCCGCGCTTTTACCCGCATAGAGTAAACGACTAGGTGGATAGGGATGATGATGATGTGAATGGAGGATGCACAGAATGTATATTTTTATTCCTAATTGCTGTTTGTTCCTGTCTACAGCTCGTCATCCGTGATTCGCTTAAGGGGCCAGTAGAATACCAGTGCAAGGCCCTGTCTTGCATATGTTGAAATGGTGCCTTTTTCAGCGCGGATCTGCGGCTCTCATCAATATCTCCATGTATTCCTATAGTACAGTACTAATTGACTCTCTCTTGTCTTTAGCATATGAAAGAAATGTTTCTCGCTTTCTTATGGAAGCAGGGATGGATTGGTTTTTATTCACTGCTCCGCACCAAAACCAGGGAGGCGAAAGTCATCTGATCATTGTTCAGCCTCTGACGGTAGGTATGTTTAAAAACTTTTCCCGGTTATCATTAATTTAATAATAAAAATAAATAAAATGAACAGTGTAATAACGAGTAAAGAATTTACTTATTTTAAGATAACATTTCATTTGATGCAAAAACTTTGACAAAAAGCATAAAATTAAAAGTTAAAATATAACACAAAATCTTTTTTTCTAAGACAATTATAATTTTTGGTTCATTTTAAGTAAAGATTTAAATTTTGCAATATTTTGTGGAACTTTGTATTTCAGAGCAGGAATAGGACTCATGTTGACTTCATAAAGCCGGCAGAAGCTCTCGTCCATGCCAGGCGGGATGACACGGAATGAATCAATTAACATCGTTGCGTTGCGAGGTCCACCGCCCCATACCATTATCTGCAACAAAAAACGAGGGCATTTATAAATATGCAGCGTAGAAAAGAAACAGATTACACAGTGCCCCTTCATTTCGCTAATGTTTCAATTCACCAATCATGCACCACCCACGAACGGAGAGAGCCCCGATGCGATGCGTTCCGATTTAAATATTGTAAGTATATGCGAAGTTTGTAAAATGCGCGAGCGGTGTATTTCTCAAGTTTTCTATCAAACTGAAGGTAAGATTTTCCTAAAAAACTTATTACATAACTAACTAACGAAAAATGTTAGCATTTTGTGTCACAAGTTCTTAGTAATAAAGACACAAGGACTCATCATCTTATTCATATTTTAATTATCTCATATTTCACTGAATCTTGACAAAACAAGAAATCTTGACACTGATTATTGAAGTCGGCCATAAGTGTGGAAGACTCATACTTCGGTACGAATGGGTCGGCTCGACTAGAGTGATACAACGACCTCATAGAAAACTAGCGTCGAACAACCACAGCGTTGTGTTTCGCCGTTTGAGTGAAGTTACCGGAGGCCAGAACCTTCCCCTATTCCTAAATCTCCTCAATCCTAATCCCAAAAGTCCGGCAAGGCTCTCGAAGTTCTTCAGGTGTTATGGTTGTCCATGGGTGGCGCCGATTGTTTCCATCAGGTAATCCATCACATAAAAGATGATCACAATTATGCCACAAAAAGTTTAAAGAAGGCTACAAAGTTAAGATGAACAATAAAATAATACTCACGAAACCTTCAGGTGTGCTCAAACCGGATACTGGAAATGATGCTGTGTACCATCCACTTGGAAAAGGCCACGGCCGTGGCATAAATATAAAAACTCCACTAATCCACGGTTCTCCTGATCTAGGATCAATTTGTATTACAATAAATGAAATCTCATCGAGCGCATTTAAAGGATGCAAGTAAAGTGTAACTTCGATCGTAGCTCCTCGTTGCATAGGGAAAATGAATGATGTCGTACAGCTTTCATATCCTGGTTGGGGTGATATGAAAGATGAGCTTTGTGCGTTCGGAGCTGATATTTCCGAACGGTTGTAATGTCCGAGTTCCCAGGGAGGCAGCATTAAGGATGCACACAGACCAAATTTATCCGTGAACAACTCATTGAAATCTTGTTCAAAAGTGTATCTCACGCATGTTTCACTGGCAGTGAAAGACACCAAAAACAAAAACAGAAATATGAATATCGAATTTTCTTTAGGCAACATTCTGTCTTACAGTATGCAACGATCACTGCGAAATGTTCAAAGGTTATTGTTGAGCTCTTTTATATATAAAGCAGAGTGATTGAATTTTATTAGCTCGTCTAATTAATTTCGTATGATTACGATAAGATACTGAAAATGCTTATACTAGAATTAATTATTTTTGCGATCACAACATGATAATGTCACGTGTATTCATACTAGTAATTGCTTCACAATAATTTTATTGGCATAATATAATTATGTCGCAGCCAATGCGATTAATCAGCCATTATATTAACAGCCTAGCCTAGCCTAGTATATGAGCCCATTTATTAAGATTGCGTAAGATGTATAGGTATATAGGAATTTAGTGATAAAGATAATCTTCGCGTTTGTTTTTTTTAATTTCTTTTTCTCTTATTGACGTTCCGGGATTCTGCCGTTGCTTCGCAGTGACCGCTCGATTTCTATGCACCACCCTATGGTTGACTGTAAGAGAATGCCTTAAGGCGTTAAGATCTCCATTCACTGTATTGTGGGAGGAAGAGATAAATAAATAAAT